GACGTGACGTGGCGTGGCGTGGGTGGGGCGGGACGGGGCGCGATTGTGGGCTGCATGGCTGGCAGTGGCAGCTGGGCTGCCGCAGCAAAGCTCGCAGGGCGCAGTGAAGGCAGTAGAAGTGATGGCGACAGCGAAGGTGATGTTGCCGGAGTGGCCAAGCGCGGAGTAGTAGCAGCCGAGGGCAAGTGCTGTGAGACACAGTGCAAGACGCACATTCATGAGGTGCTGGGGGTGGAACGAACGTGAGTGGACAAAAACGCGAGGATGATACAAGGGTTGCTGGGAGAAAGCGCGAGAATACATAGGAAGTGCAGCGGCAGGAGGCCGAGTAGGTGGCCACAAGCGATTTTTGCTTTATTTTATACGTACGTATAAATAGTGTAAAATACGTAGTTTAGAGGGAGATTCTGCAGAAAATGATTTCGCGATTTATACGGTAAGTTGGGCGGTTCCTGATACTAAAAAAGGTTGTTTTTTTCTGTCCTTGTGCCTGTCTGTCTGTCCGTGAACATTAGCGCCTAAACTTTTCGAGAAATGAATATTTCCCAGTCAATGTGGCCAGACTTGAATATCCGCGATTTTGAAAAAAGAATTCTTTAAATTTTGGAGGTACATTTATATGACTTCTCTGGGAGAATTTCAAAATGTTTTTAAAAATGACTTCGAAGTTTTTCTTCGAATTTCATGTAAGAATAGAGAGAAATACACTGGATACAAGCTGGCATAGACATTTTCCCTTGAAATTCGTTTTGAGTCTTCCATTAATTACAATTTTGAATATAGATGTTGTTTCTATAAGTAAAATATGTTCTCCGTAATTAGTTATTTAATTAACATCCTGTATTTTTTTGAAATATTTGAACTCTTCAAGTAATTATGAGTGAAATATGGGCAATAGTATAAAATATTAAAAACAAGATTTTCTCAAAAACTTTGCAATCCGTATCGTGTCAGCGTCCGTAGAAATGGCTCCACCGCAACCGCCTTCTCCCCTGCGCGCCGTTGTTACGGATCGGAGAAGGTTTCCTCAGAAATAACTTACTTCGATTCGTATACAAATATTTAATAGATACTGAAAAACAGTTACAAGTTACAAGCGAGAATGACCTCGGCCACCTCGTGACGAGCAACCGCACGGCAGCGCGACAGTGACTGATCTGACTTGTTTAGACATGGGCGCAGAGCTTAAATACCAGTGCGTACGTGGCTTACTCCGCGTGTGCTGGCATGAGGCGTCATTACAGTCAAAAGCTAGGGCTCGTAGGTCGGGGGGGGGGTAGTTTAGTCATGGTCCCTCGCGGGGTGGCTCCGTCACCGTGTCCTACGTGACCTCTGTCTATAGCAGTACTTTCGTTAGGGTGCCTCATTCATCAGGGTGCTTCAAGGGGTCGGCGGTCATGGAATGGGGTGGCTTGACCATTGTGGCCTACGTGACATCTGCCTCGTGTAACACCGTTCTCTGTCACAAGAAGCGAGCTTTGATGACTCAGCAGGGAACCGAATGGAAATATTTCGAGATTCAAATTGTAATTAAATTTTGAAAACGAATGGAAAATTTAAAATTATTGGTGAAAATTGCATCTATTCGCATCAGGTAAATCAAGCATTGCCAATTCAATGGTGTGAATTTATCATTTACTTATGAAGACGTGAATGAGGGGACATGAAGTCCCGGAGTTAATTTTACCATCTTCGTGAATGTCTACCTTCTGGGTGAAACAATCTATTCTCAACCACAAGAGTTAAGGTCTTTGAAAGTTCCTTAATAGTCTCATTCAATAGGTACATTCTTCAACCTCCTCAAACCTATTCTCCTCAATAGATACATTCTTTCAACTAGTATCTATGAGATTTTGGAGAATGTAATAATTATTTATTGTATTGTTGATCTTAGTGGCATGAAGGAAAATGGTGTCTTCAGAACAAATAGATGCACACCATATTATTTAATAAATAGGTTTGATCATGAGTTCCACAACTATACGAAACATGCTATGCATATTAAAAATTTTAAGGACATTCACAGCATTCATTCTCTGAAGATATTTCTTCAGGTAATTTTTCGAATAAAATTAACACAAACAAACGATGTAATCGTATATATTAAAATTGAACAATAGCAGTAATCCTACCTCGATAATTCGTGTTATATGAAAGAATCTACTGGTTTATATCAAATTTTAATAGATAAGGCTTATTTAGCAAGTGCACGCAGCAAATAAAAGATTAAATATTTTTCATTTCATCATCTAGCACAATTTATTTGACTGAATATCATAAATGCCACAAATTTAACATTTTGTTCTACTCCACCATTTCTCATCACGGGTATTCCACCCCTTGGTTTTATCGAAATCCTACTGTACTCAAATTTCATGAATTTATCTACACATTTCTCCTTCACTTCCGAAAGGAATTGCAGAGTAAGTCCAAGGGAGTGTACGAGCAATTCCCCCCCCCGTCACAAAATGAAAATATAATTTTGTTCGAGTTATGTGAACTCGCGAAAAGAGGCAATGGAGGGATGTAGCGTCGGTTACCACGAAAGCGAGTTTGTTGAGAATGAGACGAGAGACTTCGGTAATGAATGTACGCCTGAATGTATGCTGGAAATATTAACGTGATGTTCTGGTAATAAAACCCAATTAATAACGACTTCAAGGTTTTGGAAGTTTGGTAAAATGTAGGACTAAAATTTTCACATTCCTTTGGTCTGGGCTAGCTTTATGATTTTTTCCCATTCCCTAGCCAGCTATCATCAGTGAAATTATTTTTTCAGTTGCTCGATTTCCTAATAGTAAAACCAAAATATAACTTTAAGAATATTAAAGAAGAGTAAAATCTCGTTCTATATGAAAATTTCCGTTGAAAAATTTGGAGCCGTTCTTAAGAAACTGTCTTAAGCGTTACAGTAAATACGAAATTTAAGATCTTTTACGCAGAAAAGTGGAATTTTCGAAAAATTT